CACGTCTTTTAAATACTTCCAGGGATGGGGACTCAACCACTTCCCTGGGCAGCCTGTTCCAATGTTTAACCACTCTTTCGGTAAAGAAATTTTTCCTCATGTCCAAATAGACATAGGCATTGGCAGAGGAGATTTAACTTGTTACCACCTCCCCACTGGAGACTGCCACAGCCAGGACACCGTGGGGAATGGACTGAGCACAGGAGCGGCCAAAGAGCACTCTCACTGTACTTTCCATTGGCTTAATCCCTGTGCCCCCCCTACGGGAGCTGAGCATCCCACCAAAACTGGAGTGGCTATGGGAGCATGACTCTTCGTTGTCCCTCCCGGCCAGGGAACAGATGTACGAGGAAGAAGCAAAGTCCTTAGAGCCTCCTGCCCAAACTAAGACAACAATTTCTGACCTGAAACAGGGAAAGTTCCCATGCTGCTGTTGCAGTCACCCACACAGAGACAGCTTCTCCCCCATCAGTAAGAGCTCACAATATTCTTTCCACCACAGAGACTCACTTGACATCCTCAGCTCCAGCCACCACACTCACCATTGCTCCCTCAGTGACTGCCCTACCCCATCAACCCTCCACATGCATAGGGTTGCAACACTTGAGTATGAAACACATCAAGTGATCACTGAACAGAGGCGCATCTGTCCCCCTCACAAGGCCTACATTTGCTCAGTACTCATTGCAGCAAATATTACTCATGGTCACTAAGATCCCAATGTACTGCTGAAGGCTGCCTGGTTCTGGATACCAGGTTTCCTTTAGACATTTAACTCCAGTGCAGGGAACAAGGGCGTTCCCTTTTAAAAACTTCATGTGGCAAATTTCCAGGAGCCTCCTGACACTTGGGAAGAGCTCCGATGACAACTTGTCTGTAAGGCAAAAAGCACAGGGAAGGTTGGCATTCCTCCACCAGCCCTGTTCTCTCTCATACCTCCCCATCAGCCTGGCCGAGTCAATGACAGTAATTGCTATGCACACGCCTAAAGAGTGGCACCAGTAATGCAACAACTAGTTTGATCTCTAAGTGATGTGTGGGACCATAAGCAAGCAAATCACTCCATCTACCTGGCTCAGAGGTGCTTAGTACCAAGCAGGAGGAGACAAGAGAGCTGGGATCAGGTCCAGAGCTTTTCTGGGCTTATTTTTCAACTTCCTTGGGATGTCTCTCCTGAGAGATGAGAGACAAGCATGACAGGCTGCATTTTCGTGCAGAAGGGAGCATGTTCCTGCAAATTATTTTAGCTCATATGGCTCTCAGGTAGCTTCCCTTGTGACAGCCATAGGCGATCCTGAATGAGATGATGATCTTACCAATACCCTCTTGTAACAAGCTTTGACATCACTGTATGAAAAGGACTTGGGAACAGTAGCACATGGTGACAATCACAGGGACACTTTCCTGAGGGAGTTTCAGATCGGTTTGCATGGATTTCTCAAAAAAGGTTTGAGCAAATTCTTTTTTATGAGGATGCAAAGGCCCTGCAGTGCACAGGCAGCTCTGCAAATATTGCTTCACTAGCGTTTATTAGCCAACAGAAAGCTACAGAAATCAGACAGTATTTAATGGTCACTGTAACGTTTATAAGACTTCTATTGCAGAAAAAAGAAGCAAGATGGTCTGTGCAATAACCAAATAAGTATGATTAAGGCATTTTAGGGTTTATGGTCCTCTATTAGATTAAACTGATTTTTAAAGTCACATAAAGGTTGTGCTGTTCCACATTTTTCTTCTTGGTTTCC